CATAGATAATATATTCTGGTGCCCAATTAAACACCTATTTATTCCCTGTATTTACCTCACCTAACCTGCATATTCCATATATTTTATTCTGTGGTATGAATGAGCCTGGAGTTGACAATTATGGAGTGAATATGTGTGAATGGCAAGTCTCTATTCAGAGGGAAAACAATTTCAACATCTTCTGCAAACAAATTTTAACATCTTCCATAACCTAATTATCTCCACATCTGCCAAGTTGTGTATCATTAAGTTTTGTTATCATTGGTAAATTACTATGTGATTTATATTTATAATTATTAATTTGGGGCTTCTGTTGAGTGAATCACTCTGTATATACTGAACACTGCTGTGTTTAATCATAATGCATGACCTGAAGTACTGTTCTACACTCAAGTCACTTCTTTCATGAGTTCAATATCAGCTCTTGTCAACTAACCAACAAAGGATGCAAAGAGACAAGTACCAAGACCAACTACAACATTAAAATTACTAGAACATACACTTTCCAGAGTACAGTAGGAGAGATCTGAAATTAATGCTTCATTTAAACAGTAACAACAATTTTAAATTAAGTGAACCAGATGAGAAAGACCTTTTACAAGAGCAAGGATCCCTACACTTTAATTTATATGATACTGACATGTGAAGAAAATCTACATGACCAAGTGCATGACAGTAATACCACAAACTGGATGCATCTGAAGGTATCACTTATGCCAGACAAAATGTAGAACATATTCCGAAACCATTTTACCCTGCATCTTCCATGAACAGGGGGTTCTGATACTGCTTGTACTATGAGGCTAAAAGCAGCTGGACAGTAACTATGAGATATACTACTAAATGTGCATGGCCAGCTGAACTGCATGGAGTGGTGGGGCCCAGAGCTGGTCTGGGCAAGACAGTGGTGGCAAGCATTCTCACCCCCGCCAGAAGTCAAACCCCAGTCATCTAGCCAACAGCCTTGTCACTGTACTGGCTGAGCAATCCCAGTTCCATGCTTCGATAGACAAGGTACTGAGCACGGTAAACTCTCAGTTCTCCAGCATGTATGGAGAACAGAATGTTCTAGTTGCATGCACATGCAAGATTCATGAGATAAACTCTTATATAAGTCAATTTCCCCATGATTACACCATTTTTCAGTCTTTAATATATTTCCGTATCCTGTTTTCAAAGTCGAAACAATGCACTTTTACTTAAACTGTCGCTGGGACAGGTTCTTATGTGACAATATCGACTGATGAGTGAAAGAGTTTGGATATATTATAACATGACTAAAAATTCAACTGGCCTCTACTGTAAACACAGATCACTACGAGTGCAACAGCACCTGCAAGATGAAGGACAATGGTCAGTGCTGCTAGTGATGACTGGAAGAAGTACCATGTGGCATGCTGAAACTTTGTTTTTGATGTTAACTGCACAAAAATCATATATTTTCTTTGAAAATTCTGATGACTGCATGAGAATTCCAGATGCTTGGATACCAGACAACCATGAGTTTACTGTATAGAACTAAATCTCTGTAATTATATAACTTATAGGAAATATTCACCATGGTGGGAACTAGAAGTCATGAGAGCTTCTGGACTTCCACAGTATGTACAACTTTCATTGAATATTTAGGCATGACAGTACTACATTCATGATTTAACTTCACTCATGTCTATATAATGGCATTTCTATAGTACCAGCCTTTTAGAGGGAATAAAACATAACCTCTCCCTGGGCTACTACCTTAATGTGGTGGAGGGGTTTGCATGCTCTGATCACTTGGAGACTCATGATGGGTGGGGTGTAAGATCCTGGAAGAGGTACTTAAGTTAGAGAGGCTGAGAGGTAGGGGCCAGATGAATGGTAGCTCCCTGGCCCTCCAGGCTGAGGATCAGGCATAAGATTAACAACTTCACCTCAGAAAAAAAAAGTATGTCATGAAACCCAATGATGGATGCTAGGTGGATAGTTTAGGGAAATGGCCAAGGAAATGTTATAAGCATGAGTTACACATCCTGCTGCTGGTAATGAACTCAGTTGATTCAGGACAGGAGCCCTAAGGCAAATGAAAATGAAATTAACTCCCAGACTGAGATGGCCGGAAGATGCAGATAATGATTTGTAACAGCTGAAAGTGAAGAGACATAGCCAAAATACAAATAACAGAATACAATCGGCATCTGTCATAAAAAAAACAATGTTCTTAGAGAATCATAGTGCCAAGGAATTAGTAAGTGTATCACACATAAGCCCTATTTATTACCTAATTCCTGGTTTATGTAACATTAATTTACATTACATTGCATTCTTCCATCTACATCTATCTCAACCTTTGCTCTGGTATGTAAGTACTTTTTCCATTTCTATCTACCTTTCCATGTAAAAGAAAATACACTTGACTGAAAAGCAGATTAGTGTAGAATATAAAAATAGACTAAAAGCAGTTTAAATAAAACAAAGAACAGAAAAACATTATTTTGAAGTAATTTTATGACATGACTATGCCAAACTGTTTAATGGAAGTTTCACGTAGTATGCCGAGTGATTATATGCATCAGCTCCAATTTACATAAAGATGTAATGTCGAATACTGAATATCAGTACACACGTTTCTGTAGTGCATTGAGATTTAAGGTTCTACAATGGTTATTATTCTGTCCAGGATACAATACCATGTGGTGTGGTAGACATTTACCAACATCTGAAACACCGGCAAATATCTACCAGATTATATGGTGTCACATCCCAGAAAACAGTAACCTTAATTTCTGTAACCGTTTACAACTGTTATTTCATAATTTCTATAAATGTCAATAGCAGTTCTTTCGTACGGTAAAAGGCAAAGTTTTCTTGTGCTTCATTAAGCATACTATGAAGAAATAAGGTGGGAGATGAGTTATAGCTACACACATACTTAACTTTGTTTCTTGAAAGAGGGAGTGACAAGGCTCTCTTTATTACAGCATTTACAGTACAAAAAGAGATTATACAGTAATGCTTCAATGTCAAAGTAAAACAATAAAAAGTTATGCTTGAAAATTCCTCATCTCCCAGCTCACATGTATGTGTGTGTGTGTGTGTGTGTGTGTGTGTGAATAGGTGACACAAAAGATGCCTTTACATTCTCCACTGTTTATATAATAAAATGGTTTGGGCATGCAAGAAGAATGGACAGAACATGGAAACCAAGGAGGACAAGAGAATTAAAATCTAAAGGAAAGAACCCTATGGGACAACCTAGAACTAGATGCTTCAGCCAGGTACTGTAAGACATCAAGAAGAGAGGCAACAGCTGGCAAAATTACAAAAGAAAAGAGCATGGGAAGAAAGAAGACTTCTTCTCAACTGATTTGTATAAAATGACAATGATCTAAAAGACATCTATAACACAGGTAAGGCACAGAAACAGTAATTCATCATATAAATGTTAGGACATCTTACATTACTTTAAAATCACTCTGCAAAAATATCAAAACATTATTACTATTTTAGCTGTGTTCTGTGTGCTCAGAAAACCCTCCAAGCATCAGAGTATGATATAAGAAACAGATATTTTTTAAACATATCTTAATTTTAGCTAACCTTCAGAATATGGTGACGTGCATTTAACACTGTTCTTGTTCCAATAATACAGTGCACAGGTTTTGTTAATACAGATTTTAACTTTCACAATATCAGTTCCTATCTGCAAAGGTGTAGTAAAGTTGTACAAAATTTCAATAAGCCCTAAGGTAGCATAGTTAGTTGAGGCACTATGCTACAAGCTTTAAGGTCATGGTTTGAGTCCCAAAGAGGTGAATTTTCTTTTCAATGGATCTAATCCTTCCAGCCACACTATGGCTCTGGGGTTGACTCAGCCTCTTAACAGAAATGAGTACTAGGGATCTTCCTGGGTGGTAAAGGGCAGCCAGCCTGTAAGGCCGACAACCTCACCGCTATCTGTGAGATGACTGTCTACAGAAAATTTGGGAGCCTCGATGTCACTCAACTCTATCAGCCTTCATAGCCTGTTACAGGGATTGCTTTACATTTTTTTACCTTTACCATAAGTTGTGGTAAAATCATATGCCCCAAATATTGTGGGGACAGACATTTCAGAGAAATAATGTCTCAAGAACACTTGTCACCACATTCTAAGGCAAGCTTTAAATTCACTGGTATTGCAGAAAAATGATAAAACAGCTTAATAACATGCTTTATATTCGAGATATCACAAATGAAATATATTGTCATTAACAAGATATGCTGCCAGTCAACGATAAAATATATTAACCGGGTTCTTCATAAACACGATATACCAGATTTGTATACATAACAATTATTCTAAATCAGTAGTCAGCTTTTATAAATGAAATAAATTCACATTACTTGATGTTGTTTCGAAACAGCAATACTCAAACACCTTGATACATGATATTACCACATCAAGAAGCCAATGCTACATTTCAACATTTGTCATATAAACTTTCATACTGCTAACTTTTCCTGCTTCCTCCTGCATTCCTTTCCATTCCTACACACCATGTAACAATGGAAATGAATCTGTAGTATGATGACTACTATCCAAAACAGCATGAATTAAATGGTCTTTGTAATGTAGCAGATGTAGCACATTTTCTGTAAGGTATGGATTACTCAGATTAACTCTGGGCTTCAAAGGTTTAATAACTACATGCTATTCCAATGCTGCACGAATTGCCCAGTTGAGGCCATTAGGAGGAGACTCTCAATCACGGGACAACAAAACAAGGTCTAAGCAGCATATCTATTCCGCTATCATCAAACATTATCAGTGTGAGATAAGAACAGAACAAGTTACAAATAAAGACATCTGCTGATGTCAACAGATATTTATCAAAATGATGAATAAGAAACTGACCTATTAAATCTGATCAGATGCAGTCATGATCACATATCATCACTGTTTTCTGAACTGATATATGGAGTTTGAGAACTGCTGTTTCTATAGATATTTGAAGCACAGTTCTAACAGTTCCTCTTACCTGATTCTCTACCAACATTGCCATATCCATGAACATGTCATGCAGTTCCCGAATGGAGTTTTCTAATTTGATTATATCAGCATGTCTTGCTTCTATATCCGCTAGTGTCTGTTTCGCTTGTTGCGTTTCCATTATTATCTGTAAACACATAACATAAATGTCCCTATCAGCATTATGTGCCTTGTACCCTTAAAACACTCATTCTAATTTGATTATATCAAAATGTCTTGCTTCAACATTTGCCAGTCTGTCTTACTTGTATAGTTTCCAATTAATGCAATTAAGATTCCAAAAATCATAACCTCCTAGGTTTTTTTTAACAAAATTATGGTACATCAAACTCACCCCTTGCGTGAATACCGCTGGGTTACCTTGCTCTAACATTTCTTCTAATTCTTCGTTGGTTGTCGTTCTACCAGCTGGAAGCAACAAAAAGGTCATTTAATGTGAAATGTTAATAGATACCATTAAACCTGATAACTTAATGCAAAACCTTAAAATATTCAACCTATAATTTTAAACCTGGAGATCACATGATAATGTTCTGAATAAATAATTTTCATTTATATAGCCATTTCTATATAAAACAAATTGTTTTTCTTGTGTTGGTACCATAAGAAGTATTGCTTCTCTCTAGAGATGATTTCAATTGAGATACTTCTCTGGTGCAAAGCCTCATACATAGGAGTTTCAATAATTGAATGTTTTCTTAGCTCTCACAGATGGTTTGTGCTGTTTGATTTATGTACCCCTTCTTGAAACTGGCACAGGTGTCTGGAGATAGAGACTACCTCTACTGACTGTGCCCAACTGAGTATGTTTTACCTGAAGACGGAGAGAGAATCAAGTCTCTGAAACGTTGTGCTTTGATAAATAAACAGGATGGTTTTTAGATAGAGACAAGATGACGGATGTCAAAAGACATAACATTTGTACCAATGTACCACTGTCAGAAACTTTTATAGATCTTATATCAAATTCCACTAAATTGTGCATAATCAAAATGTGAATTCTGCACGCACACACGCGCGCGCGCACACACACACACACACAGCAGTGTTTCATGTTAAGATGTTCATAAAATTCAGGTCACACTCTTCTGAGTCTCACGGTGAAGTATCAATTATCCATTTCCAGTAGTGACTTAACTTTTATGTAAAATATGCGTTAATGTGAATTACAAACATGATATGACACAGAGACATGATCATAAAAAAGAAACGTTATACTGTGCACAGAAAGAGTTGATAAAAGAAGAGTACTCTCTTCTGAGTTGTAACACTGCATAGTTCAGAAAGTCCACTGATGTTCTGAAGGAACAAACTGCTGCCAGCAGCTTGTTGCTTGTTGTTTTCTTTCTTGGCTTACTTCTGACCCCTGAAGTTGGGAGGTGATATTCTCTTCCAAAATATCAGTGAACTTCCACCAAACTACATGGAATTATATCCTAGCTCTTACTCTTCATAGGGGGGCATGTGGTAATGTAGTTGGTTGAGGAACTATGCTAAGAGCCAGAAGGTCGCGGGTTCAATTCCCAATGAGGTCACTGAATGTTTTCAATTTACCTCATCCTCCCAGCTGCACTATGATCCTGGGGTTGACACAGCGTGTAACAGAAACAAGTACCAGGAATCTTCCTGGGAGGTAAGGGGTGGCTGGTGTGTAAGGCTGACAACCTTACCACCATCCGTGAGCCAACTGTCTAGAAAATGTGGGAGCCTCGACCTCTCACGCTCTCCACAGCCTACAGCCTGTTATAGGGACAGCTTTACCCTTTTTTAGCTCTTACTCTTCATAGACACTGATGTCAGAACCTCAAATCCGGTACTTTAAAAAGAAGGCTGTACCAAGATCCTTTGAGGCATTTTTGATTTATGTCTTATAATGTATGAAATACATCTCATTTTACTAACTGGGGATAAATGAACATCTAGTTTGCAGCTCCTGAAGAACCTGTTGCCTCCACTTCCTGCTCTGAATACTGAAGCAGCAGATTACTCTGAAAATCTGAAAACCACCTACAAAAGTGTACCATCTAAATTTTTGCATATTCCAAAACTTGAAATCTCATATATTTACTAAGTATTTTACACATGAATCCATTTTATAATAGCATTATCATATGATCTGAAGACAGTGGATAAACATGACAACAGAGCTGAGAACAAGTGACTAAATATTGACAATTGCTAATGTTTGACTCCTTCAAGCTTCAAAAAGATATGCTTAAAGGTTCTCTGCATCCAAGTGACATCAGTAAGAGAAAATGACATTTAAATATACAGTGGCAACTGCCTGTCACACGACTGGACCAATCATGGCATGTGGTAAACTTCAACTCATCAGGCAATGGGACTGGAAGTGAATATGTTAAATCACAAAATTATCAAAGTCATAAGGGAGGGGGCCAGTTCCAACTACCTACAGTGAAATATTGCTTCAATATCTTAAAGTGATTCTTTGGTTACTGGTGGTGAATTTATCAACCCATGACTGCCAGTTCTTTATATTTTTGCCCCAGGCCACAGTATTAAGATTTACATTGTCCTTATGCTACCATAAATCGTCACAGACACTGATGCCACTGTACCCACGTGCCATGGCACACACACACACAGGGATAATAACAGCAATGTCAAACATTATACAGTGGACATAAATGATGGCCACACAACAAAGATAAAGGACCTAGAAAAGACATCAGTGCCTGCTACGGCAGCAAGGCAAATTTTCGGCACACACACCTGCGTTCTCTACAGGTTATTTTCTTATTAATGAAACTGAGTGGTGTTGAGTTTAGAACTGTCAAGCATGATGTAACATTTGCTCCCCAAGTACAGTTACTTCCATAGCCAATGAAACATGACTTTTCATTGGTGAAGAATGGTGTCTCAACTGAGGCAAAACCTGGCACATATTTTCCACTGCTCTCAAATTGATGAAGAAAGATGTCTCACAATACTTCAAAGCATATTACTCAGACTCTATCATCATATGATACGTACTAGATCAGTTTTCTTCATTCTGCTCTTCAAAAAAGTCTGATCCTATCACCATCGTTTTAGATCGACCGAGCACTCTCCCGTATTTGTTTAATGTCAGCCTTAGTTAGATTACAACTACAATATAGTAGTAGGACAAAAATGTGGAACCTCTGACTTACTAATCTCGAGTTGTCTCTGTATCCGCCCCTTACATCGCTCCCTATAGTCAGTTTGTGTCCGATTGTACTCGGTCATCACTTCGACAAATTTCCGTGACAACGTAGAATGTTGTGTTTTCCGTATCCTTAGATCTGCTGAGGACTTATTCGTTTGCTCTTCTTGTTCCACAGCTTGCTCTATGACTGCAAGATACACATAAAACAATAACATTAATAACACTTTGCAAGTGTAAACCTTATGGCTTTCTTGTGGGTTATTTGACAGTGTTGTCAGTAGATAGACTATACAGTATAAAATAGATAGATGGTTGATCAGTGAAAGACTGGAGAGTATTTGGAAGGAAGTGGCCATGGCCTAATCAAAACAATATGCCAGAATTTGCCCCAAGGGTCTGAGAAAAACTATAAAAAACGTTAGTCATTATAGTGAATGCATGAACCATGATTCAGACTAAGCACCTGCCAAATATGAGTCCAGATTATCATTAAAGAATATCACATACATAAAAGGCAAGGTGCTGAACTAATTAAGCACTATGCCATGAAGACATATGGGGGAGTGGGTGTATAGATCCACGTTTTCTTGACCTCAGCACCAGTTGGACGTGAGTGGTCAGCTTCACGTCCTGGCCACTTTACCCCCGAGTAGAGGGCTCAGGGTACCCATTCGATAGGAGGCTGGGTGTTGACCCTGAACCAGTCTGGATGATGTGGAAAGGAGAAAAAATCAGTGCTGGGACCACTGTGGCCATACAAGATGAAGCCAATGTCTAAGGAAATATTTGCAACACAAGAATCTCAGATTTACCTATTGTACACGATAAAATTGAAGCATTAAAGGAAGAAGATTCACTGTGGAGAATACAGTGCAATTTCTTCAAGGAAATTACTAACTTTGATGCCTTTTATAGGAAATTTCTTTCATTATCAAACGCTGCCAGAATCCATTAATGTAGCCTTCCTTAATTCTGATTGGTCTGATCATGTTTCTAATCTACTGGCTTTGATGGTTGGGATCTTATGTGGCATATGTTGATATAAGAACTATAAGAGGATATGGTCTCCTGGAGTTTAATTCTGTACTACACCCAATGACAGTACATGCCTCATACCATACTGAACTGTGTGAGCTCTACTGTCTGGAAATTTGGATGCTTATGATGACTTCAGTAAGTCATCAGTTTATGCTGCTTATCACATATCCCTAAACTGATACTTCTGATTAAGGATAAAAAAACACAGTCAACCTCATAAGCAGTGGAGACCAAAAAATTTTGGCTGGCAACTAATTTCCCACTAGGTATTCATGAGTTGGTTCTTTGAGTTCTGGCAATCTTACTTGATCACTTGAAACACAGAGCAAATGGCAAACCACAGCTAAAGTAGATCAGCATAATTGGTAAGTCACAACAATTACTTTGACTTAAAGAGTTCAGTTTCCTCCCTTTATCTTAAATCTCGCTTGAGTCTATTTAGGACAAACATTATAACAGCAAGTTGCCTAGTTGAGGCAAGATACATAGAAAGGAGACATACAATACCAATCCACCCATCACACACAACAAACACGTTTATCTTACATTTTAAAAGATTTTTCAGCCCTTACTTCTGAAAACCATTCATGGTTCTAAAATTTTTGGAGAAAAATTAGTCAAGAAACAGCTGGCACATTTTCTGGAGGTCTGAGCCAAACAACAGGCAAAGCTGGAGTCACAACATTCTCTTGCAGTAAAATTTGTAACAGTGTGTACCGAAAGAACTAAGAATACCAGAAAGCTGAGTCACACTGTCTGACAGAATGGGACATCACGCACAGACCCAGTTCTGGTCCCCCCTTCCTAAAATCACGACAACTTGTAAAATTTTGTCTTCTCGAATATAATGCTGTGTAGTCAACTGACATTTCAGTGGAACACGCCACCTCCATCATCAGGGTTGAAAAATAAGCCAAGCAAGAAACAAGCATGAAGCACCAGGCTGCAAGCAGAGCAAAACAGCTGTTTACTTTCAACGGACTACATGACATTATATGCCACTTGACAGAACTCTTCATAACCACCATTCTGAGAACCTCAGATCCTACATAGTGTTATATCCCCAAAGACAGAACTCTTCAAAACCACCGCTCTGAGAACCTCAGATCCTACATAGCATTATATCCCCTAAGACAGAACTCTTCCTAACCACCGCTCTGAGAACCTCGGATGCTACATAGCGCTATATCCCCAGAGACAGAAATCTTCATAACCACCGCTCTGAGAACCTTAGATGCTACATAGCGCTATATTGCCAGAGACAGAACTCTTCATAACCACCGCTCTGAGAACCTCAGATCCTACAATGGACCACTTGGTTCTATGCTTGGCTTGCTCTTCTACCCTGAATATGGTGGGGGCACACTGCTCTGAATGTGAATCAGTACATGGCATCACACCCCAAAAACAGTAACCTTCATATCTGCTGTGGTGAGAGCCTCAGATCTTGCAAATGAAGCACAGGGTTGAAAGTTCTTGAATAAATTTTGCTTCAAGGATCATCTACAAGTTCATTCACTGGACAATGACTCTCTGGATGCAACATTCCTTCCAGAATTGGCCAATGATGGGCTAGGAATGTCAGGTTTTGGAAGGTTATTCTTCAAGTGAAGACAGGAAGACACGAGTAAGAAGCTGAGGAAAAGAACAAATGCTAAGTATGTAAACAATTTAGTGAATAATTTTCTCATGAAAGTTCTAAGATTTTTAAGGCACTGATTATTCAGACTGTGATGACACACAGTCTTGTAGGTATATCCTACCATTTAGGTACAGAATGCTGCCTCAGACTTCTGGGTCTATCAGGTGGGTTATACATGCACACTGCAAGGAAGATGGCCATTCAGATCCATGGGAGGGAAAGAGGAAACAGAATCTGGTCCATGCAAACAGGAATAGCACACAGGAAACAGCCATATGACGCTGAAGATGGAAGCAGCATGTTACTCTCAAATGCTGATATCCATCCACAGGGGACTCTCATTATATGAGGAGCCTGTGCTCCTGAAAATGCATACAAAAAAAAGATGAATAAACAGTGAGCATAATGGAGGAAGAAATATGACAGAGTAAGAAATGATGAAGGTCAGAGAAACCACCAACAGGCTCACTGAGATTGAGCTGAAGCATCTACTGCAGCAGCAGAAAGGACACTGATGCTCTTCATGACATTGAAATAAACACAGAAGAGCAGATAATGAAAGTGCATATAATGACAGCCACCAGTACAAGACTACATGGTGTCACATTCCAGAAGCTCACACTCTAAATAACCTTATAAGCATGTATGATCAGATTTGACTGTATGAAATACAGCACAAATGTGATTGTGCTGAGAATGTGACCACTTAAAACTCACCCTTTAATTTGGCACGGACTTTGTTGGCAGTTTTTTTAATATCGGCCATCAGATCCTCCAACTCCTGTTTGACCTCTGAAACAAACAAATTCAAATCATATAACATACATTTTAAAAAACTGTAATATATAACTAACATGTGAATAATACATTTCCTTGGATCTACACTGCACCTATTTAGTAGCACAGAACAGCAGTGGCTGGTACTCCGACTTCATATTTCAGATGTCCCGGGTTCAAATAATGACCTAGAGACTAGCTACTCTGGCAGGTTTCTTATGGTTTCCCCTCAGTCCTTCCAGGTGTATGCTGAGCTGATGCTTCAAATTGGGCCAATTATGTACTTCCATTAACAACAATTCCATTCCATTATTCACTAATTACCATATCATTCAATGCTATATACTCGTAATCTTAACTGAAAGCATCATTAAATAATTCAGGATAAAAAATGGAGATAACACGTTCTTCTAAAAAGATTAGTAACCATATAAAAACTAGAAGGCATTGTAAATGGTTTAAAATAAATCTGCCTTCAACAGACACCATTTCTTCTTCCAAAATTTACCAGAATTTCATGTTAAAATTCCGTTGTTATTAAAAGTTTACATGGCAACCAAACTAATACTGTCAAAGGAAGAATTTTTGTATTAGCGTGAGAGTGACTTCACTTTCAAGTCAAAATTTCATGAGTTTAGGCACTAAAATATGAATTTCAGCAAAGACAGGCTCAATTACCTTAGTAAAGACATGCATTTTCCTTCAGGAAATTTGATTAGCATTTTTAAATGTGTGCTTTTGAATGAAATCATAACAACAGCGTACAGAGTTCTCCTCGTGCTCAACAACTGCTACATTTTGGAGCCACATGGGGTAGTCATGATAAGCTCCATATATTCTTAACTTTGGCATCACAAAGAGGTAGGGAGTCAGCCTGAAACTTTGGTCACATCACCCTGCCCCCAAAATGATCCCTAACACCCACTGGATAGGAGGCTAGGTGGAGCCCAGAAACAGGAAAACCCTTCCCTGTCGGGAATCAGAATTTGGTCACCCAGTCTGCAGCTTAGCCACTATACGGTGTAGGACTTTGCCTGGCTCACTATTCAGCCCTGAAGATGGTGGCAACACTGTTCCCCTGAAACTACACAGCGTTATGTTCCAGAAGACAAAACTCCTATTCATTATACTGACAGAGATATCCCGGCTCCAACTAATTCTACGTTGGTACTAACAATGGTTTTTTTTTGGGGGGGGGAAGTAAAGTTATCCTTGCAATAGGCCGTGGAGGCTCCCACATTTTCTAGACAATCGGCTCACAGATGGCGGTAAGATTGTCAACCTTAAGCGCTGGCCGGCCTTTACCCCCAGAAGATTCCTAGTACGGATTTCTTTGGGAGGCTGAGTCGACCCTGAGGCCATAGTGCGGGTGGAAGGAAGATTTAAAAAATCTCTGCTTACAGTAAGTGGGTTTATGAACATTATGCTTTATAGGACAGTCCTGTGAAACTGTTGTTACGACTTGGCATCAAGTCAACATGGGTATTCAACTTTTGTTCTATTTTAATGACAATCACGTTTCTTACGAAACTCGAAAAAATTAATATTGTGGGAGAAATAAATTCAGAAACATCAACAGAACTGTACACCGGAGCCCCACAGTAGGCTGACTGCGGCACAGTCTGTGGGCGGAAGCTGCGGTACCGAGGTGGGGAACGGCCACCCCAACTACGTCATGGTTGAGCATCAGACTGTGTGACGTCACATGACGCCATCCACCCACGCGATTTTATCAAGGGAAAGGAGTGGGCCGAGAGAGGTGGGGGGGGGGCGGTCATACGCAACAGGGGGCAGCCCAGCCAGGAGCTAGGACAAGGCTACGAGACTGTATTATATCGATTGTAACAGGATAGTCTGAGCGACTCACGGCTGTGTTCAGTTTCGGCCACGCTATAACGTTTCGGGATGAAGTTATCCTTGTGCTTAATTACGCACCGCGCATCCTTAACCTCGGCACTGATGTCTGAGGGTACGTCTACCTTGAAGGGGCAACCTTCTGGACGTAAAGTCCGGAGCGTTCAACAAGGTCTCTGGTACAGCGATTCTGGTTCCTATCCTGTATTGAAAACATAATCAAACTTTCTAATAATGACGTAACGGTCTACGTCACTATCTGATGATGACGCAATCTCAAACATGTTTTAGACACAGCATACCGATCTTGTGGTTTATTTAACGACGCTGTTAAGTACGTAAAACCAGAAAGCGTATAATGATAGGATCACTTAATGAACAATAAGCTCTAATGGATGTGGAAGAAACTGATCCTGGTAAAATTTGAGGTACTATCCAAGCATCTGAACTGAAGGACTGACTAAAACGAGAAATTGCCTCAGTCAGGATAGCAACTGTTACAGTCAAGATTCGAACCGATCTTCTTCGATAATACAAGTCAGATGACTACCTAGTTGACTAGTGTCAACCTGCTCGATGTCACTAAATAAAGTGTCAGTTTCAAGCCCCGGCCGTATTACCTCCGCAGAAAGAGCTACCGATATCCAACAGATACGAAGCTTGCCGAGAATAAAGCCCCGATTCCTCGGTCGTCCAGCGTTGGCTAATAGGAAGGGAAACCGAAATAAAGTAAAAAAAAAATCCCTGTGACAGGCCTTGGAGGCCCATAGGGTTGTAACATGTTGAGGTTCCTACATTTTCCAGACAATCGGCTCATAGATGGCGGCAAGGTTGTCAGCCCTACGCGCCGGCCGCCCTTTACCCAAAGAATATTCTAAGAATATTCCTGGTACTCATTTCTGTTAGAGGCTGAGCCGACCCCAGGGCCATAGTGCGGCTGGAAGGATTAGATCAATTGAAAAAGAAATCCAATGACCTAATCGGGACATGAACACGCGACCTTCCGGCTTGTAGTATAGTGCCTCAACCAACTACGCTACGCGTTCCCCAAGGGAAACCGAAGTACTCGGAGAAAAACCTGCTAAAGTGGAACATTGTCCACCACAGATCCCAAATGACATGACCTGGAATCGAATGTGGGAAACTGGCAACCGCAGTGCCTTAGCCATGGCATGGCTAGTCACTATATCGACTGGGCTGTCCCCGGTTCCACATTTTCGGGTTATATATAAAACAAGGTTTCGACAATTTGGAGCAATTCACTGTTGCGTGCCGACCGGCTAGGAATGCACACAGTTCAAACGTTCCGTCTCCCCCTCTCAACCACACAATCCATCTCTCTACGATTCATCTTAAAATATTCATATTGTAGCCCAGCGCGGTACGAATGTAGGCATGAGATATCTTCTCGGATATAACGAAGTGTATTCTGTAGAAAAGCAACCGACGATTCGGAGTAACACATCACCTCCATCTTGCGCGTCGAAGAATAAACCGAGGAAGAAACCAGCGCGAAAGCAGGTGGCAAGCAGAGCTAGTTTATTTTTCGACCCTGAAAATGGAGATATGTTCCTCCGAAACGTCGGCTGACTGTCGACTGACTACATGACGTTATATCCCAGAATACAGCAATATTCACAACCACCGGTGCGGGAACCTCAAATCCGCCAGTGTCCAGGCCGGCTCTGGGGCCCACCGAGCCTCCCATCCAATGTGTACCGGGGGCTCTTTAACCGGCGGTAAAGCGTCCGGGCATGAAGCTATCGCCCCAATCTAGTGCCAAGACTAAGAATATGTGGATCTATATCTCCATTCCCTCATACGCCTTCATGGGGTAATGCTTAATTAATTAAGCACAGGGACAACTTTACATTGAATGGGACTTCTTGAACGTACACATTCTCGCAACTTTGCAAAAGGAGCAACATTTTTGACTTTCAGCCGGGGGATATCCGGTTCGAACCTAGATCGGGACACCGATTATTCCATCGGAGAATTTCGTGGTTTTCCTCAATCCCCTTGGGCGGATATCGCGATGGTAACTTCAATTTAGCCAAGACCGCTGCAATTCATAATTTACTCAAACAATGCCAACGTTAGCTGCCATGTAGTAGGCACTCCTGAAAGCGACACAACCCGCACTAAACAAATAACACACGAGTGATAATTTGACATGTTTCATTTTAAACGGACCTCAATTACAGGCAACTGAAAATGTCGTGACCTCATTCTTTTGTCAGCCGTGAAAGGTTGCGCGACGCTGTAGAGCATTGGCTGGGACGTGATGTTGCACATTTACGAGTGCCTGCAACCTGGAAACAGCATCCACTGCGTGTGACACGATACTACGAGGCTGATAATACACACAAAAGGATATTCTGTATGAGGCTGAACGGCTTATTGTTAGGTAATAACACACGGTTCTATACATCCCGTAACATCATCAGCAAAACAACACTGCCAGATTCTTCCAGACTTGTCCATTCAGTCCGATTTTCACTTCTGTGGATTTCGAAACAGCATTTTTTTTACAGAGCAAGGTCGCCAGTCTTGCGTCCAACCCGAAACCTGGAGGACCCAGGTCTCTGTATTTACGTCCCCCCAGTGACACGATGAGCTGATCACAGTGACCGCGCGGTCTAAGGCATGAAGTCTTCACCCGCTCGAACACTGTGATCATGGGCTCGAATGCACTCGAAGCATGGATGTTTGTGTGCGTTTATCCTGTTTGTGGTGTTCTGTGTATAGCTAGCGGCCTTACGACGGACTGATCTTCTGTCCAAGGAGTCTTACCGACTGTGTATACTATACACTGTATAGGATTAAGAAACTGAAAAGCAGCCAAGGCCCAACAGAGGGTCGTAGAGCCATAGATAGATAAATAGATAGTGACAGGGTGCCCAGTTACACCCCCAGTCACCCGATTCCCTTTTCGTCGCCTTGTACGACTCGCTGGGCTACGGCGTATCCTCCTCCACGCGTGCACGTCCAGTACCACGAAAGGATAAAATGTTTACGCTTCCATGACGCTGGGTCCTCAGTAACTTGATATCAAATAAACTGAAGGAACATGCCACTGGACAAGCTATCGGGTCGGACGAAAGAAACGTAACCTACATCTCGAATGTGAGGTTTTCACAGCGGTGATTGTGGGATGTGAT